CCAAGTGCACACCATGGCCCGCCCCTTTCTGGAGTCCACCCGGCCGGCCGAATACCAGAAAGGACTCATCCCCATCCTTATGTTCGCCGCCTTCCTACGCTACTCCGACCTTGTCAGTCTCCAATGGCACGACATACAGTTTGAGCCTGAGGCGATGTGGCTGCTCATCCCGCACTCCAAGACCGACCAGGAAAGCAGGGGCACGTGGATTCCGGTCGCCGCCACTTCCGGCCCATACTGCCCGGTACGCTGCACACGACACTTTCTTCTCCTCGCGGGTCACACCTCCACCCCACACGGGCCATTGATCCGAGTCTTCGGGAACAGCAGTACGGCAACTCCACAGGACCACGCACCTTCGTACACCACCATCCGGAACTGGTGCCTTGAAGCATTCACCAGGGCCGGCCTCGATAGCGCCCACCTCGGCACCCACTCCTTTCGCAAGGGCGCTGCTACAGCGGCAGCCAGCCTGGGGATATCCGATCGGCTGTTCAAGCGACTTGGCCGTTGGCGCAGCGATAATGCCAAGGTGCTCTCCGTTACCATCGCGCATGACCAACTCCTTCAAGCCTCCATGCAACTCCAAGACGCAGCCACCGCTCCCACGCCCAATCAGCACCAGCTATCTATTCAACGCCACCGCCAACCCCTTCTGCACATGTCTCAGAAGACCCAGATGAAATGAAGCACGCTGCCTTTTCAAGAGGACCTAAGCAAGCTTTCACAATATGTAATTTTTTGAAAGTGTGTAACACTTTCTAAAAATGTGTATTGTGAGAGTGTAGCGAGGGCCAACGCAGCAAAGGCAGCGACGAAGCGCTACTCACCCTCTTTTGCCTACAAAAGAGGGACGTGAGGCCATTCGGCCTCACCCACGTTCTTCATTTCTAGTTTCTCTAGTTCAATTTCCCCGCCCACCCACCCTCTTGTGCGTAGTTACAGTATGTGTTGGACGAGAACCATGTATGTTTCCCAGATGAAATGAAGCACGCTGCCCAGATGAAATGAAGCACGCTGCCTTTTCAAGAGGACCTAAGCAAGCTTTCACAATTCAGCATTTGCGTGAAACAAAAAAAAGGGGGGCGGAGGAGGAAGCAAGAGAACGGCAGAAGTGCCGAAAAAGAGAGGCAGTCAAGAAGGTACAAAATGCACATAGAACATTGGAACACGCACCGTCACACCGATGCAAGCATGACAAAAGATTGTAATATCGTTGGTGCACACACTGCAAAAAGTGTTGCCTTCATTATTGCTTACGCTTCGACTATGTCGAGCACAATTCTCATGCTACAAATGCTTACCGCTCCACATTAGAGTTTGGCTCCTTTGCTGTACATGTTGCCACATCGGCTGATACAATCCGTATGCGAGGACGCCTGTATGCCTGCTTTGCATGGTGGTCCGGTTGGTGCGATAGCCGCTTCATGCTATCGGTCCTCGCGTCAGGCTATCGCCTTCCCTGGGTTTCTTCAGAGCCTACAGTGCAGCATGCCTCAAACCATGGCGGGGCACTCCAATTCCATACATTCGCGGTGGAGGAGGTGGACGAGCTTCTAGCTACGGGAGCGGCTCGGCTCGTTCCTCTGTCGGAGCCACTCACATGCATCAGCCCGCTGAACGTAGTTGTCCAACCTTCCAAAACGAGGCTCATATTGGACCTCCGCCACGTGAATTTATCTTTTTCCGTCCCCCGTTTTTGCTACAAGGGCTTGAATTGGGTGCCTGACTTGGTGCAGCAGGACGATTGGCTATTCACCATCGACCTAAAATCGGACTACCGCCATGTGGATATCCATCCTTTGTATTGGCGTTTCCTCGGTTTTAGACTCCAAGGGCAGCGCTACCAGTTTCTATCATTGCCTTTTGGTCTAGCTACTGCGCCGTTCGTTTTTACTCAGCTGATCAAGCAGCTCGCAAAACGTTGGCGCGGATGTGGCATCCGACTTATCCCATACGTCGATGACATTTTGTTCATCAACGCTACTCGAGCCGAGGCCCTTCGCCATCATGCCGTCATTTTAGCAGATCTTCAATCAGCTGGCTTCGCTGTCAACTTCAAGAAGTCGCAGCTCGAACCAACCCAGTGCCTACGGTTTTTGGGTCTCCTGCTGGACACTCGCACCACGTCTTTTTCCGTCCATGCCGGCAGACGCGAGCGACTCTTTGCCGAACTTGAGCAGACATGTGCACTTAGTGCGCAAGGGCGGCCTATCCCAGTCCGTGGGGCTGCTTGCATCACTGGCTTGCTAGCCTCCATGGTGCTCGCGCTTGGCACGGTCGCTCGTGCCGTCTCCCACAATCTTCTCTCAGATGTCTGAGTGTCACTCTTTGGGGGCGTCAATTCTCTTGACACCCGAATCTCTTGACGAGTTGCGTTTCTGGCTCACCCAGTTCGATGTCTTCAATGGCTCGCGCTTCCACAATCATCATCTGTACGACGTCGTAATGTATGTGGATGCTAGTGATCGCGCATGGGGCGCGTGTTTTTCAGCGCCGG